GGGGTGTGGCCTAATAAAGCCCCCAACCCTAAAATAAATTATGAACTCATATTTTCATAAATAAATTGACTTTATTACAAATAAATTAATTAAAATGTTCTAAAAGTGGGCGTGGCTTCACGTCGGGGCGGAGCTGGGGATGATGACGTCATCGGGCTCCGACCAATCCTCTTCCGGCTCCGCCTCCCCGAGGCAGCGACGAATCAGATCCCCCCAAAGGAGGGGGGCGTGGCAGCTGGGGGCGTGGCCAAAGTGAGGAGAGCATCCCTTAGCAACAAGCCCCGCCCCCTAGCAACCACCCAGAACCTTGCCTTATAAGGAAATGGCGCCTTAGTAACAAGCCCCGCCCCCTAGCAACCACCCACAACATTTCCTTATAAAGAAATGCAGCCTTGACAACAAGCCCCGCCCCCTAGCAACCAATCAGAACTTTGCTTTATAAGGAAATGGCGCCTTAGCAACAAGCCCCACCCCCTAGCAACCAATCAGAACCTTGCCTTATAAGGAAATGGTTCCTTAGTAACAAGCCCCGCCCCTTAGCACACAGTCAGACCTTTTCCTTATAAGGAAATGGCGCCTTAGCAACAAGCCCCGCCCTCTAGCAACCCACTAGAGCCTTTCCTTATAAGGAAATGGAGCTTTAGTAACAAGCTCCGCCCCCTAGCAACCACCCAGAAATTTTCCTTATAAGGAAATGGCACCTTAGTAACAAGCCCCGCCCTTTAGCAACCAATCAGAACCTTTCGTTATATGGAAATGAACCTTAACTACAAGCCCCGCCCACTGGCAGCCATATTGAAGGCTTTCCTAATAAGGTAATAAATTTTTTTAAACCCTGGTCGCCATCTTGAAAGCTTTCCTTATAAGGTGAAAAAACCTTTTTAAAGCTCCGCCCCCTGGCAGCCATCTTGGAATTTCCCTTTATCGGGAAAAACAACCTTAGCAACAATTCCCACGCGTTGTCGGCCATCTTGGAACCTTTCCTTATAAGGTAAAGGGGTCTAATCGGCAAGCCCCGCCCCTTTTCTCACCTGGGACAGGTGCCCCCTACTGGCAGCAGCTGCAGCGGCTCCGGGGCCAGGAAGAGCCGAGCCAGGCAGGGGGGATGGGCGGCCATGGAGCACTGGGGGTGGGGACAGCGCAAAAGGGGCGTGGCCTGGGCCTGAAAGGGGCGTGGCATCGTCAAATCCCCCTCGATTTGCATAAATTAGCATAAATTATACTTTTTAAAGTTTTTTTTTTCCTTTAAATTTGTAGCTGTGCGTTAATGTAAAGCCCCTCCCCCATCCTCTCAGGCCACGCCCACTTGAAAAATTTGCATAAATTGTTCCTATGAAACTCAAAGGTTTTGCCTTTTTTAAACCAGGAAAGCCACGCCCCTTTCCAACCACACCCCCCAATTAGGCCACACCCCTTTAAACCATTCCCCGCCCACTTAATTCCGTCTTTGGGCTCCTCCCATTTTAATCCCCACTCCTTTAAGCCACACCCCCTTTCGGCCACTCCCATTTTAAGCCCCACCCCCTTTAAGCCCCTCCCCTTCATCCCCGCCCACTTTAAGCCACACCCCATTAACCCCCACCTATTAAACCCCTCCCCATTTAAGCCCCACCCATTTAAGCCACGCCCCAACCCACCTTTAAACCCCACTCCTTTATCCCACGCTCACTTTAAGCTCCACCCCGTTAAGCCCCGCCCTTGGAAACACACCCGCCTTAAGCCACGCCCACTTTAAGCCACACCCCTTTAAACCCCGCCCATTGAAACCCATGCGACTTAAGCCACGCCCATTTAAGCTCCGCCCACTTTAAGCCACACCAATTGAACCCCTCCCCCTTCAAGCCACTCCCATTTAAGCCCCACCCACACCCCACCTTTAAGCCCCACCCCTTTATTCCACGCCCACTTTAAGCTCCACCCCGCTAAACCCATTGAAACCGCCCCCTAAGCCCCGCCCATTTAAGCCCCGCCCATTTAAGCCACACCCCTTTAAACCCCTCCACCTTTAAGCCACACCCGCTTTAAGCCACGCCCCCTTTAGCCCC